CACCATTCCTTCAAAGTGAAGAATCCTCCACCTCACACACACACACTCCCCCACTCCCCATCTCCTTCCAGAAAATGAAATTAAATATTTCCCACTGTCGACTGCCTGTTCTCCCTTCATTCATGAATCACCCACGTGGTCCTTTGCTAACCTACAATCCAACAGGAGTACCCCACATCATCTGCCCTCAGTGGTCACCTGCTTCTCTCCTGTTAATACTTTTAAGAAAGCATGAAACACAAGGCCCCGACTTGTTAGCTTGTCAGGGTGTGGGCAGAGCTTCTAGGCTTCCTGTCTGTACTCTAATCCGCTACAGAGGTGGCTTCTTTCTCCACTCTCTTTGGTTGGAGATGTCCACTCGTACAGGGCACTGCTGCAGGCTCCTGGCTGTGTGTGCAGAGCAAGGCCCTTGGCCAGAGGGGGAAATGGGGTCCTGAGCGAGTCACAGAGAGGCCCTCACCGCCCCCGGAGTTGAGGCACCACCGGCAAGAGGAAAGTCCAGACCAGGGGCAGCAGGAAGTGGGCAAGACCCCAGGCACACCATTCCCGCTAAGTACGAATTTCAAAGCACCCTCACTCCTCATTCCTTTCGTCAGGCTGGCCTTCTAAAGGAAGCACAGCACCCAGCCACCGTGGGTGGGTGTTAAAGTCGGGCTGCTTCTCCCAGGACAGTGCGCCCGCTTTCCTGCGTGCAGGGCAAGTGGCAGTGTAGTGGCCGAGAACTCAGTCTCTGGCATTATAGCAACTTGGGTTCAAATTACCAGCTGGGTGCAACAAAAATAACTACCATTGATTGAGCACTTCCTATGTGCCAGGCACGGTGCTAAAAGCTTACGTACAGCCCTAACCGGTTTGGCTCAGTGGATAGAGCGTCGGCCTGCGGACTCAAGGGTCCCAGGTTCAATTCCGGTCAAGGGCATGTACCTTGGTTGCTGGCACATCCCCAGTAGGGGGTGTGCAGGAGGCAGCTGATCGATGTTTCTCACTCATTGATGTTTCTAACTCTCTATTCCTCTCACTTCCTCTCTGTAAAAAAAATCAATAAAATATATTTTTTTAAAAAAAGCTTATGTGCATTAGCTCATAAAATCCTCACACTAATCCCACAAGGGAGGTGCTGTTATCAGACCCAACGGGGCCAGAGTTGCACTTAGCAACCTCCCAGACCCAGGTCGGTTTGAACCCAACACCTGCCTTCCTAACGGCTGCACTCAGCCTGCCCCGCGGCCTCAGTGATGGTTTGTTCCAGCTGCTCCCTCAGAGCCCCTGCCATGCATTAGCTCATAAAATCCTCACACTAATCCCACAAGGGAGGTGCTGTTATCAGACCCAACGGGGCCAGAGTTGCACTTAGCAACCTCCCAGACCCAGGTCGGTTTGAACCCAACACCTGCCTTCCTAACGGCTGCACTCAGCCTGCCCCGCGGCCTCAGTGATGGTTTGTTCCAGCTGCTCCCTCAGAGCCCCTGCTGCGGACAGCACAGTGAGAGTCTGCCAGGGCTTACTGTCTTGTGAGGTGTCCACGACAGTCACCTGGACACCCCGACTTCGGAAGAACAGGAACCCTGGGTACAAGTGACATCGCCCCTCCCTACTCCACCCTTTTCTCTGCACATAATCACAAGGTGGACACAGATGTGAGTTACCCCAAAAACACAAAAGGCAGTGGTGACACAGGAAGAAGTTCCAGCAATGACTATCACATTGATAGCGAAAATCACTCCCTTACAAAACTGACCTTGGGCAGGCTTCTTAGGGAGCAAGGCCACTGTGCAGTTTTCTGAGCAGTGGTGCTCTTTGCCCTGAGTCGTTCACATCCTCCCCCACCCACCCGTCCACACCAGGGATGTTCCTGGGCCTGCCAGGACTCACTGACAGTCTGAAGATCTGAACTCAAGGACCCACTCGAACTGGCCTCCAGCCAACTCAGCGACGAGCTTAGACTCAAATCACAGGTTTGCTTAATCTCCCTTAAAACATACCTTTGGAATCTTCTTGCATAATGTAAGTCAATTTACAGGATAAGAGGCCCGGTGGGAAAAGATAAATACCATTGAAGTGGTTTCAAAGTCCACTTGTGTAAAGTTAAAAGTTGCATTTCACCCCTTCTGAAAGAGACACTAGTTTCAAACATACATTACAGAACTGTACAACTCTAAATGTTTTAAATATAGTTACTAAAATGTTCAGGATATAAAACTGGCCCCCCCAAAAAAATCAAAAACATAAATAAGGCCCAGGCTGCCTTAAAAGGTTTTACTTGCAGGAGTAAAACGTGTGTATGTCTGTGATGCTGAGGTGGCACGCGCACACAAAGGGAAAGACTTGGGTGTCCTGTGAGTAGTGACAAGGAGAACTCACCAGGTTCCTCAAAAAAAGTAAAAATGGAACTGCCATTTGACCCAGCGATCCTACTTCCGAGAATATATCCTAAGAATCCTGAAACACCAATGAGAAAGAATATATGCACCCCTATGTTCCTAGCAGCATTACTTAAAACAGCTAAGATCTGGAAACAGCCCAAGTGCCCATCAGTAGATGAGTGGATACAAAACTGTGGTACATTTACACCGTGGAATACTTCGTAGCAGTAAAAAAGAAGTAACTCTACCCTTTGCAACAGCATGGATAGAACTGAAGAGCATTATGCTAAGTTAAATAAGCCAGAAAGAGAAAGACAAGTATCACATCAAGTATTACATGATCTCACTCATATGTGGAATCTAATGAACAAAATAAACTGACGAACAAAATAGGACCAGAGACACGGAAGCATGGAACAGACTGACAGATCTCAGAGGGAAGGGGGAGTGGGGGGACGGCAAGAGATTAACCAAAGAACTTACTAATATATGCATATATGCATAATCCATTGACACAGACAATAGTGTGGGGAAGGGCAGGGGCAGGGTGGAGGGGAGAAATGGGAGGGGGGAGGGCACATCTGTAATACTCTCAACAATTAAAAACTCAGCAGGGAGGGTGCCCAGGCTCAGCCCTCTGCAGAAGAGCTCTGGTTGCTGTAACGCCCTTGTTCATCAGCTCCTTTATATCACTTTTTATGAACTAACAGCAACTTAAGCTCCCACCTGTCACAGGTCAGGCCTCCTAAGCTTGCGGGAAAAATGGTGCAAAATTTCAGATGCACTAATGCCACTTTCACAAAGGCAAGTGGGGCTGGGACAATCTAGTCCTTGTCCTGGTGGCAGATGCTACGATGGAGACTGGAGTCCACCAGGTGACCCTCTCTCCCCTCTGGCCCTCAACTTCCTCACCAGCAAGGTGCTCATGGCTCTCATCGATGTACCTCGGAAGGTCGTTATGAGAATGTATAGGATTCAAACTGGAAAACAAAACAAAAATCTCTAAACCAGGCACAGCATTTGGCACAGCATTTATGAATACAAAGCAAGTGGGGAACATAAAGCCATGCATGGGAGTAAGAAACTGAATTCGCGACGAGGGAGGGCACAGTTTCAGTCACATTTTATTTCTCACACACACACAAAATGGATCTGAAGTAAGTTGTTCCATTAAGATCTGCACAGATATGTGTTAAAATAGTCTCTTGAATCTTAATGATGAAATATCACCAATAAATGGGAGAAAGAAAAATGTTGTGCTACATAGACACTGCTTTCCAGACTGCACCCCCCCCCCACCGCCCCCAGGAAACTCCTCCTATCTCACCAGAGAGAATGTGGAGAACTCCAAAAACAAAAACCCCAGCTGACCCCGTGGCATTCTTGCTGGCAGTTCTGGTGAGCAACCACCTTCAGCTTCCCAGGACCCGCAGGACCTCCAACGCCCTATCAGCAACCACTTCCACAAAGAAACGTGCCAGGCACCCTGATCCCAAGGCAGCCCTGCTCACGAGTGACTCGCCTGCTGCTGGGCTCCTGCTGAGATGCCTGCTTCCAAGGACCCCACCATGCCCACAGGGGGCAGCACGAGACAGTGAGGTGCCTTTCTGTCCCAGTTCAGGAGACCAAGTTCGTTCTTCAATAAGAAAACCAGGTTCATTCCTAATCACCACCTTAATTCATTGCTGAGACACTGCCTCATCTTAAGGATAAATATTTAGAAAAGACTGGCAAACAATTGCTTTGGGGGGCCCAGACATGACTCATTACCCACAGCTGCCTCTGCTGACATGACCTTGCTCAGCCAGGATCATGGAAGACTGGAGTTAGAAGAGCTCAGAAAACAAGAACCCAGAGAGGGATTCGTCATGAACCACCCACGGTCCACAGCCAGGACGAAAGCCCAGGCAAGACAAACACACATGTTGTTTTTAAGGGGGACTCAGACCTGAAGAAGAGGAGCCATGTGCTGAAATGGAAGTGAAGGTTCAGAGAGAGGCCACGTCAATGCTGCATGCGTGTGGACGGTCGTGCAGTGACTGTGAGCTGAAACGTCGAGCGGTCTGCCCCAGGATCTGGGCCGCGTGTAAGCTTGGGGAGGCAGGAAGGCTGATTTAAACAAAACAAAACAGACTAGCACCAAGCCAGGTGCTACAGCGAGCCGTCATGCTCATTTGGCAATGAGAACAACCGTGGCACAGAACAACTGAACACATGGGGGCACCGAGTTCTCTCTCCTGTGCCCCCTCCCCAAAGTCAACCTCGTCCCTATAATCAAGAAGGGAAACAAAGTAAATCACAGTCGTTGTTTTTTTAAAAATAAGGTCCCCCGGTAAAATACAAACTACATTTAACTGGTCACATTATATAAAAAGTGTGCATTTAATCTTCAGAATAGTCAAACCTCTAATTGGGTTGGGTTTTCCAGAGTTTTAAGCAGGACTTTGTGATTTCAGTGAAGAAGTCTTGGCAATTGAAATCACTATAAGAAATAAGTGATTTTTAAAACACATACACAATACACATTTGCTCCCAAAGTCAACCTCGTCCCTATAATTAAGAAGGAAAACAAAGTAAATCACAGTCATTTTTTTAAAAATAAGGTCCCCCAGTAAAATACAAACTACACTTAACTGGTCACATTATATAAAAAGTGTGCATTTAATCTTCAGAATAGTCAAACCTCTAATTGGGTTGGGTTTTCCAGAGTTTTAAGCAGGACTTTGTGATTTCAGTGAAGAAGTCTTGGCAATTGAAATCACTATAAGAAATAAGTGATTTTTAAAACACATACACAATACACATTTGCCTCAGGAGCAATATATATATAATACAGCAGCTACGTGGGTGGTCAGTCAGGCAAAGGGGCACAAACAAGAAGCCTTCTGCTCCCTGCCTAACGGGCAAGCCCCAGAGAGGATTCAGCAGCAGCCAGTCCACAGCACAAACATGAACACCATCGTCCCTGAAAAGACAGTGAGTGGACTGCCCCCTAGGAGCCATGTGAGCCTAAACATGGGGGAAGGGGCTCGGTTACAGTACATGCTACTGTATACACTTGAAATATTACAGTGTGGTGTTTTCTACCAGACTATTATAAATAATGTTTCGTGCTCTCTCTCGAGAAAACTTCAGTCTGTGATGAAGTAAGGTGAACCCATATCATAAAGCAGAGCTCAGGTTCCACAGGATTTCATGTGGACAGAATGCTGATCTGAGAATAAGCCTTTGTCCCTCCAGCCCACGACAGGCAGACCCCTGGAGCTCCAGGCAGGACTACAGAGTAGCTCGGGTGAAAGCTCTCCTGGCAAAGACATCCAAGCCGTGCACCTCCTCTCTGCTGGGGAGAAGGGGTAGTACAGGTATGGGGGATGCTGACGGGGTCAGAACACATTAACAGCCACTCCCTGATCAAGCCCAGTTCAACTGATGAGACCAGAAGTACCTGGGCAAAACTGTCTTCCAGGTTTTTAAAACTTCTGTTTAAAAACCCAAATAGTTTCACCCCCATGACTTCTTTCCAACTCAAAGCTATAGTTTACTCACAACCCAAATCATAAGCACATAGACTGTATATACAGAATTTTTTTAAAAACCCACAGATAAAAAAACACTCTTTCAAAAAATTAAAAAAAAAAAAAAGACAGTGAGTTGAAGCCTTGTCATCATTTCAGTCACACCAGCTGGGCTGACCTTGGTGCCCGCTCCCTCGCTCAGTCCTGCTCTCTCAGCCCTGCGTGGCCCCTACTAGTCCTCCGTGGCATCTGTCAGCATCCCCTTGTCGATCAGGTGAGACCTGAGTGTGCTGAAGATGTGGAGCTGCTGTTCTGGCCGCAAGTTCATGAACTGCTGAATCAGCTTGCTTGGGTTCGGGCCCCTGGAAGAGAATGTGATGAAATGCACTGATGGGGGCCCAGCAACTTCTAGGGCTGATTATCCAAGTGGCTGCTTCAACCTCTGGATTCTCTACTAAAGGGGCAGAGGGGCTCGAGAATCCATAAGTAAATAGTAGCAATGGAAAACTGCATTTATATTTGGAATGCTTTTCACTAACACTGAGATATAGCTAAAATTCTAGACTTTCGCCCTATTTAAAAATCCACCAACTTGGTGCAGAGGGAAAGGCATGTACCTGATAAAACTGGCGATGTACACATTGACAAAGGTGGCCATCAGATACTGGCAGTCAAAGCGATCCATGATGCCCCCGTGGCCAGGAATAGTATTGGCAAAGTCCTGTTAGAGGCAGGAGAAGAACTGGTGAGTCTCGCTCAGCCAAGATCAAACCCTGGCCTATGGTCCCACCTCAATGTCCAGCTACTGCCCTGAGTAGCTGAGAGAAACAAGGTGAGAAGTAAGCATTGACTCAAATGCTGAGGCTATAATAGGACACAATCTTAAGTTACAAAATGTTGTTTTTAAGAAAGAGGTAAGATATTAACAAATAAATGGAAAATCCAACTATTGAATTTTCCCGGAAACAATGTCTTTTTATGTAAGCTACCTAAATTCTGTGCACGGGTGAAAGCACACATTAATAGCCTAGTAGTTTGAAGAGGTTGTAGTTGACGGGGTGCGGCAGGAGGAAGAAGGCAGAAGACAGGTGAAGAAGGGCCTGGCTGGTAGACAATGAGAGGAACAGAGGGTTTTCCTACTTTGATTTTGAAGGCTCGTTTGAATCCACTTGCAAAGAATCCTCCAAAGGGGCCGATGAGCGAGGCAAAGGTGGAGAGGGCAATGCTGTGAATCTGGAAAGGGTACATCCGGACGATTTTCTGAGAAGAATAAATGAAGTAAAAGTCAAGATGCCTACAGGCCAGCCTTATTACATGTTAACATAAGTAACTCTTTATGCAATTAACTATATTCCCCCCCCCCACCCTTCCAAAAAACATAATTAGTAAGAAGACTGATTTTTTCAGTCTGCGCCTACGCTCTATCCGCTGAGCCAAACTGACTAGGAGAAGACTAATTTTTTTAAAATCTCTAATGTCTGCTTAATAGAAGACAATAAGATATTCTGCATTTAATTTTTTGATATAGTTTTGGTTGAAGTATATGAAGAAAATCCAGCCTTACACAGATATGTAGTTGGAAAGAGGAAGAGTATTTTGGCACTATCTTTTCAGATAATTATGGGTATTCTTTGACACTACACCAGAATTTGTTAAGTGGTAGTTCCTTACAAATTTGGTGCAATGTGAAATCTGAAATTCTATCAATGACCTTTTATACTCTTAAATTAAAATCCACTGGTCTATCTGGCACTCTGAATGGGTCTTTTACCCATGCCCAACTGTGTGATTCCATGCACTGGCCGTTTAGAAAATACCCTTTACTGGGTTATGTCAACCTTCCAAATGCAGGCACATTTAGCTATACAATGTCAAAACATTACATATTAAAGCTACCACAGATCTTATCAGAAAACCCTTTAAGTATTAGGATGCTGTCAAACTCATAGAAGGCACACACTTTCTAAAATTCTATACTCACATGAAAGCCACATTTTTATCAGCGTTAACAATTACTGTCAGCTGTTTTCCTCGAAGTGACAGGCTCATTTCATTCATTTCCAAGAAAAATGTCTGTCAACTATCCAGTCTAAAACACTATAGTTTGTCAGTTCTTTTCAAGTAAAAATTGTTTCTATGAAAAAGCAGCTAGGTTCCTAGCTGGTTTGGCTCAGTGGGTAGAGCGTCAGCCTGGGGAGTGAAGGGTCCCGGGTTCGATTCCGGTCAAGGGCACATGCCTGAGTTGTGCGCTTGATCCCCAGTAGGGGGCGTGCAGGAAGCAGCCAGTCAATGATTCTCTCTCATCATTTATGCTTCTATCTCTCTTTCCCTCTCCCTCTCCCTTCCTCTCTGAAATCAATAAAAATTTATTGTCTCTCCAGGGGACCCAGTTGGGCCAGGCCCAGGGATAATAACACTGAGAGGCAGCAGAGTAGTCCTCAGTCCCACAGTGGCCACGAACCCACCTCCCAGCCTGCAGCCTGCGGGCGTCTGGAGGAGGCGGCAGGGAGCGAGGAGAAGGAACCTGGGTCGAGAAAGCGACAATAGCAGCCTGGGTTCCTGCCCGTTGGCCCAGGGTTCGCAGGAGCAGCAGCTGCTCATCCTGGTCAGCCAAGCGGCACTCCCACTGTGGTAGCTCCTGCATTGAGTGTCTGGCCCCTAGTGGCCAGTGCGCGTCATAGCAACTGGCCATCTGGTCATTCTGTTCGTTCCGCCATTCGGTTGCTGGACTTTTATTATTTAGGATAGTTGTGACCTCAGAGACCCCCTGAAGGGATCTTAGGGTCCTCCAGAAATCCCCAAAGCACACTTTGAGAATCACTGGTCCTAATGATTTGAAATAGGAAGAAAAGTCTCCTCCTGTCCTCACCGTAAACAGACTTAACAATTCTCCTTCATCCTGGGGCCACAGCTTTGGTGAAGGGAAGGTGGCTTTTCTGAGTGGTGGAGAGGGGGCTCTCTCCTGCAGTCACTATCCCACTGAGGTTAGTTCCCTCCACGGAAGTGGCACATACCCAGCCAATGACCGACTGGATCACCTCAGGAATGTTGTACTCATGTAAGCGAAACAGGTCCGAGGGCTCACAGTCCACAGTGAAGCTGTTGGTGTCATTGTTGTACTCCACAGGGCAGACAAAGCATCTGTACCCAGACATCACATAGGACAGCTGAGGATGAAGAACAGAGAGACAGGCAAAGGAGACAAGTTTGGCCACCCTGCCTGGGCAGCAGACACCTGGTTTGGCCATGTCCCTTACAGTGCCTAGCACCCTCTAACTGCAAGCCACGCGCTGAATAAGAGGTTTAGGTTTCACCACATGTGTATTTTACCTGAACTGGGGGAGGGAGGTCACACCCTGTTGAGGTTGCACACATGCACACTTGCTCAAACATTCCTATGCTGACTGAATCCAGGAAAGACCTGAGGAATGTGGAACGTGACGAAGGAACTATAAGAAATTTCTACCCACGTAGGGGAGCTACAGTCCATTTTCTCAGAATCTCTTAACTAGGCAGGAGGTGGGGGAACTGTATAGGGAGAGGCAGGGAGCCAGGAGGAAGAAAACTGAAGAGCAATAAGGTAAGGAAGCTGACACTGAAGGACAGATGGACAACACACAAAGGGGAGAATGGTCTGGGTCAGAGCAGGGAATGGTGCTCTTAAAAGGGCTGGGAGATCACCCACTATGAGCAGGGCACACAAAGGAGAAAATCTGAGCTGGAGTGGCATATTTCACCCCACCCCTTACTCTCCGGTGCCAATCACCCAGACCTTGACATATCAAATGCCTGGACAAGAGCGCCACCTGCTGAGTGTTGCATGCATGGGCAAGAGAGAAGTACAGGTGCACATGGCCCCTGCTCCTACACTACCAAGACCTTGCTTGAAAACTGGCAGATGAAGACTAGCTGGTGCTGCCTGTGCCAGTTACAGAGTGTGCCATCTGGTGCCCCTCTTCAGAGCAAGGTCCCCATCGAGTAGGACAGAGTCGTTGGCCTTGGGAGACATGCTCTCTAGCCCTGGATAAGCTTCAAAGACGGGTACGAGGCTTCTGTCACTGCCCCACCTAACAGGGAGCCACCACCTACCAGAAGGCCAAACAGCACAGTAGCAAAGAAGCCCCCAATGAAGCCTTCCCAGGTCTTCTTCGGTGACAGCTGTGGACAGAGAACAAGTTCTTAGCAAAGGGCATTTTGATATATTTAGCTTTGGGACAATGAATACTTGTTAAAACTCTCTGTTAACCACCTCACCTTCTAAAATACCTCCATGCTTGGTTTCCTTGTTCCCTGCCTGATTCCCCTCAGTTTTCTTTCTTCAATTGGTCATTCAAATCATTTAATTTAATTATAGAACAGTATACTAATTAAATAGCAATACTCAAATTCATATCAAGCCCCCAAAATATGCTTATATAGTTTATAAAAATATTTTATTTTTTGCTGGAATAAACAAATATTTATGTGCAAAAACATGAACTTGGACCCTAATTTCACATCACATATAAAAATTAACTCAATCAGCCCTGGCCGGCTTGACCCAGTGGATAGAGCATCAGCCTACGGACTGAAGGGTCCCAGGTTCGGTTCAGGCCGAGGGCACATGCCTGGGTTGCGGGCTCGATCCCTGTGGGGCGTGCAGGAGGCAGCCAATCAATGATTCTCTCCTTCTCCCTTCCTCTCTGAAATCAATAAAGAAATATTAAAAAAAAACATTAACTCAATCAGAGGGAAGGCAGGGGAGGGGGGGAGAGGGATATAAGGCAGGGGAGGGGGGGAAAGGGATATAAGAGGTCAACCAAAGGACTTATATGCATGCATATAAGGATAACCAATGGACACAGACAATAGAGGGGTGAGGGCCTGTGCTGGGGGGCAGGAGCAAGCTGGGAGGAGTCAATGGGGGAAAAAGGAGACATATGTAATACTTCCAACAATAAAGAATTTTAAAATAATTAAAAAATAAAAGTAATTAAGAAAAATATTAACTCAAAATAGATCATTATTCATAAAACAGTATAACTCTTTAAATTTACATTTGACTCTATTCCTCCTTAGGCACCAAGTATTTTAGTCTTTATTCATTTTTTTTTCTTTCTATAATCTTTTCCTGAGTTTGAGCAACTCTCATTTTCTCTTTTCTGTCCATTTCTCTTAGTTTTTGAATTTTTGGTATTTGAATTTTCTTTTTAGCTTTTTTTTTTTTCTTGTGGGTAACTGTCGGGGTTTCCCTTTGTTTTTTTCTTTAAAAAAAATGTAGTACCACTTTTCTCCAGGATGACATGAAGACATACACACCAGCTAGATCTCTGTTTCCCAAGCTGAGAGCATCACCCTTCCCTCATGGTGATATTTCATGTTAGGGTGATCCATTTACCTTGATGAGTGGGGTCCGACCAAAGAAGAATCCAAACATATAGGCCATGATGTCATTACAGATCACGCAAGAAATGGGGACAATGAACCTAGGAAATAAACCAAAGGATCAGCACTACCAAGATAATAATACCTCAAAAGTCCACAAAATAATACCATTCATAAACTCCAGTACCAAACAAAATAACTCAGAGTACTTGTTATCCATTAAGACATAACTTTTTTAAAGAGATTTTTAAATTATTATTGGAGAGAGAGAGAGGAGAGAGCGAGAGAGTGAGAGAGCGAGAGAGAGAGAGAGAGAGAGAGAGAGGGGAGAGAGAAACATCGATCGGCTGCCTCCTGCACGCACCCAACAGGATGGAACCCACCACCTGGGTATGTGCCCTGACTGGGAATCAAACCCACCACCTTTTGATGTACAGGAGATGCCCCAACCAACTGAGCCACCCGGCCAGGACAGAAATAACTTTAAAAAAAAATAAAATACCAAACAAGCCCTTCCTACTACCTGGCACATAGCAGACATTCAAACGTTTACTGAATGACTACTGAATAAATAAAAGTGGCATTCTATAAAATGTCATTTATTCTTTTGTCATTATAAAGTAATTATCTACACAATAAAACAAATTTAAACTGTAAAGGAAAGAAAAAAAATAAAAGTTTTCCTTGTTTCTCCCATCCTATCTCCATTCCCCAAAATAGCCACTTGTAAACATTTCTGGTTTTTCTTCTTCTAGTAGTTGCCTCCATAATTCTAATAAGTAATATATTTTATGTCATAATTTATTTTTCTTTCTTTTTTTTTTTTTTTTACTGTGTGTTACTAGGAGCTCTATCTAGTAAGCCCGACCTTTCCCTAGGACAGTGATGATGAACCTTTTGAGCTCGGCGTGTCAGCATTTTGAAAAACCCTAACTTAACTCTGGTGCCGTGTCACATATAGAAATTTTTTGATATTTGCAACCATAGTAAAACAAAGATTTATATTTTGATATTTATTTTATATATTTAAATGTCATTTAACAAAGAAAAATCAACCAAAAAAATGAGTTTGTGTGTCATCTCTGGGTTCGCCATCACTGCCCTAGGACTACCCTGAGGGTAAAACCACATCCACACACACCTAGGTTTCTTCTCTGCCTCCCCCTGCTGGTCTGGTCATCCCCATCATGAAACCAGTTGTGGGGGAGAGTAGGGCACAGTTTCCACACTTGTGCCATCACCCTCCTCTCCTCACTCTCCACTAACAGTCACTTTTTTTAAATTTTCTCTATTACAGACTTATGCATAAATCTCAATTTCCTGGCCCATCAACTATAAGCAACATTTTTGGACTTCCTGTTTGTTAAGGAGGGAATTAGAGCATCTGTATTCCCCCAACCCCCACAACACTGACTTCATGGAGGCTTCTAGCACATATTCTCTGCTCTGCAGCTATAATTAAGTCTTATAGGTTGAGTCTGAAAACCAATAACTAGAGATTTTAATAACTGTATTACTCACTGTAGAAAAAAATGGTATATCTGGCCCTAAAGATAGGACTTAGCATGTGCCACTGTTAAGAAACACCTAACAGAAACTGAAAGAAAGGGAAGGAGCTGTATGCCCTAACCATAATACCTATAACATTTATATAAGCTAGTCTCTGTTCTAACACTTTACATGTATTTAGTAATTTATTCCTCAGGAGGTAGGGGATACTATACCCTCATTCTGAGATCTAGAAACAAAAGCGCAAGCTGGGGTCTTACCCACAATACTTTAGTACCTCTCTTATATACCCTAGGCTAGGCCACCCACACCTCTTCACTAAGACCAGCCAGCTTCTTCCACCAGCCTGCTAATTTCTATCAATGCTGACAGATTTCCTGTTGAAACTGTGGAAGGCTGTTGGACAGGCATGAGCAGAACAAGGACAGTGGGCCAGGTACAGATGGTCATCAGGGCAGAAAGCCCTGGGTGCCCAGCAACAGACAAAACTGGGAAAACAAGATCCTCGCCCCCAGGGTAACCTTTCCTCCCCTAGCATATCACTGGTCACGTGGTCACTTCAGACCTCCTAACCTTTCTTATAGCTGGTAGGTAATGCAGTTTGGACCTTTCCTCCCCTGGCCTGTTGCTAGTCCTGTGGTAGCCCTTAAGCATTAAGACTACAGAACAATGAAGTTTTGACCCAAACCAAAACACATCTAGGTTCCAGTTGTGTTTCAACTCCAGGCACAGAAAAGCAACAAAACCAAACAAATGATGCCACGATGACCTCAGGACCAGCTGCACTGACTAATGACCCCCCTGGCCTGGCACTGATCAATCGTAGAGACCCTGACCCTGAAGGACACACCTGGAAAGCTGATGAATGAATATTCTACTGAGATCTTCCCCTGAGATCTCCCCTCAATTCCCCACCTCAAAAGCCTTTAGGACAGAGGACCCAGCATGCTCTTCCTCCTCTTTCTCCCCAGGCTTGTTACCTTTCCCCTTCTCTCTCCTAAGCTCCAAGGGCCCTTCTTTTGCCTCTGTAACTTGTTTCCGGAGCCCATTTCTTCTACCACTCACTTCTACTTCAGTGACTTTCTAAATAAACTTTCTCTCATAGTTGAGGTCTTGGCTCTGAATTCTTTCTTAGCCAGAACTCAAGGATCAAGGTCACTGAGTCTGACTCCACCAGTCTAACACCTGGTGCCGTTCTCACCACCACCAAAAAACTACTGCATTTCTGGAATAAAATCTACTAAGTAACAGTACAGTCATGTGCAGTTTAACTATGGAGATACCATTCTGAGAAATACAGTGTTAGATGATTACATCCTTATACCAACGTCATAGAATGCACTTACACAAACCTAGATGGTGTAGCCTGCCATACACCTAGGCTATAGCCTATTGCTCTATAGGGGAGGAAAAATAATTTTCCCTCTACCCTTCTGGGCTTTTAGCTGACACATTCCTGTAATAATAGGAGAAAAACAAAAATTTAAAAACATGTATACCAGGAAAACTGAGTAACTGGCCAAAATGGCTGAAACAACTACATGAAATAGCATCTTCAGCTGAAGACAAAAGAAGATACTAGGGATGGGGGGAGTCGGTTATAGGCTATCAGGGAGAGCAAAATAAACAAGAGTAAGGTGTTATGCAGATTTAAGTCCATTTGTTCTCTTCTGCCTCAATAACAATTTGTAGAAACAATGTTATCCCCCTCCTCCTGGTACAGCAGGGACCCTTACAAGTGGAGATTTTCCCCTACAAATGTAAATGTATTTTACAAAAGGTAACTTCTACTTGGTTTTCAGAGCTTATCCCAAGTCTGATATTTCTTAAAATTAACCAGCCTAAAATAATCCTATGCCAAGTAGAGATATTTGGGGTTGACACACTCTGTTCCCCGATACCTCCTAGGCTACAAATCTGTACAGTATGCTACTGTGCTGAATACTGTAGGCAATTATAACACAATGGTAAGTATCTGTAATGCATCTCACTACGACTTCACTAGGCAATAGGAATTTTTCAGCTCCATTGGAGCCATCAGTGTATGCATTCATCATTGATCAAAACGTTCTTAAGCAGCACATGACTGTACAAATTCTTTTGACATGTTGCCAGATTCCATTTGCTAACAGTTTATTTTGAATAGTTTATCTATAATAATAAAAGAAATCAGTTTATCATTCTTGTTTCTCCCTCCACATGCTTATCAGCTTTAGTATTAAGGGCTAGATAAAACTAAGTTTTATCTAGTTATTTTCTATAGTTATTGATCTATTCAAATTTTCTTCTTCATGACATTTAGTAGTTGACATTTTGTCAGAAAGTCATAAAAATTTCTTCTAAGATTTCAAATTGGTGCCATACAGTTGCATTATCTTTGATTCTTTAAATATCCCTATACCTCTTCATCTAGAACCGTGGTTCTCAAAGTGTAGGTCCTAACCAGCAAAACTAGCATCACCTGGGAATGCCTAGAAATTCAAATTCTCAAGCCCCACCCCAGATGTACTAAAGCAGAAACTCAAGAGGTGGGACTCAGCAACCTGTGTTGTAACCACCGCAAGGGGAGAACCATTGGCTTAGAAGGTAAGGCACCTGTACATGGGAAACACCTACTAAATAAAAGGGAAAATTATTTCACTCTCATCACTCACCAGATCATTCCCTCAAACAGGTTGTGGATAACGAGATGTGACTGGGTGACAACAATCAGTAGCGTTACGTGGGTCCAGCCAAACTGCAAAAGAAGAAAAAGAGTCAACATTACCTATCGGTTTACCTTGAAAGGAACTTCAATTAACAGGCAGTACCAAATAGAAAATTGCTGAGAAACAGGTAGGAAAGATATTTGCTTCTGCACCTCTTATTAGAAGGGAAAAGGCACAAAACAGGCCTCTGGGAGAAATTGTGTTCCCCCAGCTACTATCCCCATCACGTCAGGACCACATGGCTCACTAGAGAGTAAGTCCTCTGTGCTCTGAAAGCCTGGGTACTTCTAAGTATTTATTGAGTGCTTGGGGCACTCAGAGAAGGAATATGTTCAAATTGAGAAAGTGATGTAAGATATCTGTGAACAGTGCCTGAGGCATGGAGGCAGGATGGTAAGAAAGCAGAAAATTCCTTGGCAAGTGGAATGAGGGAAATTGAGACAAATAGTTCAACAAGGCTGAGCAATGTTAAACAAGGCCCGCTAATAAATCCCAAGATCTTATCTTCCCTAACCGAGGACACTTAGGAGCAAATGGTTTACACTTCTCCTCCCCAACGAAAGAGCGAGTAGCTTAAATCACACTAGTCAAGGAGAGAGATAACAGAGATCCAGATAGTGCCATTAGGGGTAGCCAAACCCAAAAACAGATGAAGTCAGGAGAATAAATAGCAAAACAAACAAAAATGAGAGCCAGACAAATCCAAGATAAAAAATAAAGCAGTGAAGCTGACCAGAGAATGAACCCAAACTCCCTATATGCTCATTTTGATGCATCAGTATATTAAAGAACACACCTGGAGAACTGTTGACTATTCTGTTGAGACCCTCCATGAGACCTCCCTAAAATTCCTGCCTCAGAAAACAGATATAAACACTAAGACAAAGGACTCAGTGTGCACTCTCCCTTGAGCATGCTTGTGGCTCTTCTTTCCTGAGGTGTACACTTTTGCTTTCTTTCTTCTAAGCTCTAAAGGTCCCCCAGGAGACTTGCAACCAGGGGAATGGCGGGCAGTGGCAGCTTATCCAGGGCTAACCCCCTGAACCTATTTCCAAGGGCCCTCCTTTTGCCTCTGTAACTTGTTTCCTGAGTCCACGCAGCCCAGCATGGCTCACTTCTGCCACTTCTGTTACTGTAATTTCCTTTATTGTGTCTAGGCAACTCCTGTTGCTGCCTTTTCTATCTTAAGCCTTTCCTTTGTTTCACTCTCCCCAGCTTTAATAAACATACTCTCAAAATCACCTTGACTAAAATCATGAAATCTTTCTTACATGAAGTCAAGAACCCAAACATTCCAGATTGTGCCAGGGCAGACCTGGCTTGGTCCCGGTCTCTTTCTAGTAACAGTGTCACCTTGAACCTTACCTGGAGCCCACCTTCTTCAGGACCTAGTGGAGAAATTGGTTAAATTAACTGGTGTAAATTAAGTAACAGTGATTGGATCTACTAGTAAGTGGATGTACAGTTGCCAAACTTAATCAGGCCCTCTTCTTTCGTGCTCTGGGTTCCAGATACATACAGAACAGACTGCACTTGAGCTTTGATTTCTTAAGGAAAAGATGAAACGCCTGTTGAGTTTTTATAGAATTTCATTTAAGCCAAGCCTCTGACATACACACATATTTCCCTTACCATGTAGAACTGCAGACGGTAATGCTTCTTGACCAAACTCAATACAAACATGCAGAATCCTGGTTTGAGGAGGGAGGAGAAAGAGCAAAATTAATCACATTCTGCATTTACCTTTGTCCTAGTCATTTCCTTTAGCTGTGTACATGATTGTGATTGTGATCCTTTGGCTAATTTCCTGGCAGCACCTAATCAGTGCACAATCCCAAACCCCGGGAAGGGGAGGGGAGAAGAAGACGCAAACTAATTCTTCAGATAGCAATCAGAAGGGGAAAAAATGACTCCTTCAAGACAATCAAAGGAAGGCACTATCTTTAAATCTTGTAGACTACTAAATTCAGGTTGTTGTTCACCAGATAAGAATATTTTGATCCTCCAGCAGGCACCAGCAAAGTCAGGCCAGATGCCTGATTTTATAACTAAAATTTTATTGAAACAAAGCTATACCCATTTGTTTACATATTGTCTATGGTTACTTTTGTGTTACAAGGGCAGATTGGAGAGTTGCAACAGAGACGTTGGGCCCCCAAAATCTGAAATATTGATTATCTGGACTTTTAAGAAAAAGTTTTTTACCCCTGTCCCAGAGAAGAGGTCTGGTGAACAGAGGATCCATCAGGTATGGAGTAGAAGCCACCCTTGTCTTTGATGCATATGGTGGCAAAAAATATCTGCAGCCTCCACCCACTTTTCCAGGAAGGAAAAGGACTTCCCATAAGTGTGCTAGGCCCCTCAAAAGCAGTTCTGCCCAGAAGAGAGCACATCGCTGCTCCAGACACCACTGACCTCCCGCTGGGGGACTGCTTTTATGTTCTGAGACATATCCTCAATGTCTGCAGACTCCTTAGCAGTGAATTTTGTATCTTAATACCCAGGTGTCATTCGGAGCTGATTAAAAATAGGTCAGACAAATTTAGGCCAGAACAACTTTCTCAGGTGCCTCAAACCAGCGTTAAAGGCAACTATGAAAATCACTAGCACTAACAGAATGAGAGTTCAGTCTGAACTGAGTTTAGATTGACCAGCACTTCACTGTCTCCCAAGTTTTAATGTATCCGATTTAATCCTCAGGAAGTCCACAGTTTCAGCTCTAGATTAAAAAAGAGCTCACTGAAACTCAGAATGACTAAGCTTCCAGGCTCTCTGAGGTCAGTCTTTGAAAATCCAAATCAGTAAAATTTCTACCACTCTGCATGTCTGTCCTTCAAGGTGTTCTCCTAAGAAGACGCTCCTAAAGGTGGCTGACCGTTTCTATCTTTTTTGGGGGAAAGGGGTGAGAGGGGGTGGCTGACTTCTAAGTTATTAAAACACGTGGCTTTTCTGTATACAATTTTAACTTTATGTCCTATTAGAATTTTGTTTATGCAAAAACATAAGCATGAATGTATAAAAATAGTGTATTCTTTTGTAACCTGCCTTCTAGATTCCCTCTCAAATAATGGAATACTTTTATATTTCCATATTTTAATATTTCAATAAATCCAAGCGGTTCATGTTGGGGGAGAAAAAGAAAAGGTGGTTTTTGTTTTGGTTACACTGCAGAATCTCTGCCAATAGGAGTTAGGACAGGACCATGCTGTGCTGTCTTCCAACAGAGGCTGCAACACAGGGACAGGTGGCACCGACTGCAGTCCCCACACCCACAAAGCCGCTCAGTCCCACTTCTCTTACTGAAGAGCTGTTACAGCTCACTAAGGCAGAGCCCTCAGCTCTGCTCCCCTGCACAATCAGAGTTAACATCCTCAAAGCTTTACATTAACCAAGAAACTCCCCATTTCCTACAGCGGACACACAAAACAAGAACTCGTGAGCCATTCAATGCATACCTATCAGGTAGAGAGTAAAGGAAATGAACCGGTGGTATTTGCTGAGAATCCTCAAAGGCTCCTCTCTCTGGACCAGCGTGAAGAAATAATCCGTCACTGTTTCACCGTAGAAGAAATAATTTACACACAGTAAGAAGTACCTGTAAATGAAGACAGGTCACTGCGGTGGGGAGCACTTGCGGCCTGTCCTTACAGGGAGGCTGTCAAGGAACCAGAGGAGAGGACCAGAAGAACAGTCCCCCAACCCTCAGGACCCCCTGTTCTCAGTGACACTGTAGGTGAGAAGCTTGTCTAGAAACTTATGGCAGCTTTCATTCATCCTCCATTTATCACAAACCTGGGACTCGGTTTTTGCCCCTTTTGTAGAGTCTCTATACCTAACCTGAGAACACTCAACCCCTAAGATAATGCTCCAAAACACGCCTCATCCTGCCTCCCGGTCTTATTGCCACTCTTTCCAACAGGAACCCTGAGTGCCTATCAGGTTGCCACCTATCTGCTTTGCTCCTGTCTCTTCCCTGCCTGGCCATCCTCTTCACTTATCTCTCTTCACTCACTGTTCAAACACCATTTTCTTCATAAAACCCTGCCCGACCTAACATGATATCTGCCCCTGCGGCACTTACTTCTATAGCATGTCAGCCACTCTGCTTTCTTCTGAGGAAGATTCCAGGTTGCTAATAGCTACTAAAGACTCCTTCAAGACCAGCCATATAGTCTGGCCTATGAAATACTCGGGTCTCAAAGGTGCTATGCAAGCCTGTGGCCATCACTCCTCTCCCACCCACCACCACTGTAAATATCTACCACAAAACACTTATCATCCAAATCTGTTATGGGTCCCTAAGGGGCTGGAGAGCTTACCAGCTGAGGGTCCTGAACCAAGGTAGTTCATAGGAGTGGTAGACATTGTAGCCAATAGTGATAATCTCCTGGAAACACTTTATCTGAACACACATCACCTGCAGGACATACAAGAATTAGACCACCTGATATGATCTTTGGAAAAAGAAACCAACAGGTCATGGGCCTTCAAGAAAAACCACTGTATTTAAGAAAAATGTCAGTCCCTCAGTGATTCAACTCTTTTCTCTCTCACTCCATCCCACATGGCAAGGTAGCCTTTTATGTCACACAGAATAGATCCAATTTCTCACAATAAATACATGCTCCTGAAGTTTCAATTAACTTTTTACTCCATAACCTCCCAGGACTCAATAGTTTCTTCCCTTTTTGACTTTGCATACAAATACTCAAAAAGCCCCAGCATCTATGCTCCTCAGTCAGTTGTTAGTCATCTGACCCTGTCCATGACAATGGGACGAAGAGAGAAGCACGGTGGGCTGGGATTTCTTATGAAAGGCCTAAGCCAATGAGTGAGGCCCCAGGAAAATAAACAAAACCAAGAATCACAGTCAGGTTAGGGGTCACAATATAATCAAACAGTTGAAACAATAAAATCAAATTTTAAAATGAAGAGGCGTCTTCTGGCCGTAGTTCAGTGGTTGAGCGTCAACCTATGAACCAGGAGGTCACGGTTCAATTCCCGGTCAGGGCACATGCCGAGGTTGCAGGTACAATTCCCAGTGTGGGGCATGCAGGAGGCAGCCGATCAATGATTCTCACTTCTCTCTCTCTCTCTCCCCCTTCCTCTGAAATCAATAAAAATATATTTTTTTAAAAAAATAAATAAAATGAAATGAAGAGGCATCTTTAACCACATACAACTGGCCTAGGCCCATGTCCCTGCACTTGGCTGCTAAAAAGTAAGAAGCCACAGACATTTTAAGAAAGAAATATTCTGTGAAGCCTGGACCCCAAATGAGTCCCAGAACTAACCCAGCACCTGGCTCTTCAGATGGCCGATTCTGCACGACAAACTGAAGGTAGAACTAAAACAGTATGCAAATGGCACTTACAATCATCATTAAAACCATTGGTCCCAGGTAAATGATGATGAAGAAAAATGCAATCATGGCCAAAGTCAGGATGCCTCTCACCCACCAGTTCTTCCATCTAAGTTAGAGAGGAGGGAAGGAGAAAGCACGTTAGAAGCCCAGAAATAACTGAAACACAAACTCAAGGGGGTAGCTCTTCCTGGGAGGAGAGGGCCTGAGGTTAGCCTTCCAGGAGCACCTCCTTCACCCAGACGACAAACTAGCCACATGCTGGTGGGAGCAGGGCCGCTAGAGACAATGCCTCACCCACACCAAACTCAGCTAGTGCTCCAAGAGCCACACCTAAGTTATGTCTTAACGAAGGAATCGGGCAAAAAATTCCAAAGGAAACGTGGTGCCCTCTACTTCTGAATCTACTTGGACAGCTTCTGTGGCTGTCTCTATCCACAAAAACACACAACTATAAACATTTTCCTGCAGCAGAATCTTACATCACTCTGCGCCTGCATCGTTGTGGTGATAACAACATTAAACAGTGATAGTAACAGGTATCACAATTACGCACCTGGCACCTTTATAAGGACTTTACATATATTAATTCACTCAGCCCTCAACACTTCTAGTTCTTACAGACGAGGAACTGGGTGCACAGGCCATATGACCCTGAAGTGGTTAAGCTGGGACTGAACCCAGGGAGCTGGCTCCAGAACCCATCCCCTGAACCACTGCACAATACCACCTTTCAAAGGACACGTGTGTGGGAGGCACCACAGAAACACTTTTAGACAATGTTTTGGGGTCTTATAGTTTGTGTTTTCAACCTACCCACATAGCTGGTGTTGGAGGGATCAGAGTCTCAGGGACCAGAATTTCAACCCTGGATTCACCCAAGTTAAGACATTTCTCAATTCTTCCAGGAGAATTTTTAAATGTCCATAAGGACATGCAGGGGGAAAGGGAAAACTAAACTTTGAACTACAAACTTGGACTCCTCTGTGAAAAGCAGTCCACCCATCAGTCAAACCCCAGGGACCATTTCTCCACATGTGCTGTGTCAGCAACACTGCCCACCACCACCCCACTGTCCACCCTTTTGTCCTCCTCGGACTTCCCCTCCCAGCCCAGCCTAGAGCACCATTCAAATGCCAGACCCCTCCAGGCTGTGCTCGCAGTTGCTGTTAAGATGACTAACACTCAATGAAGCCTTGGGCAGAGGCAGGGGAGACTATGGCAACGCCAGTGGACAGAAGTGGACTCCCACAAGATTGTGGGCTCTCTGAGGGGCCTGGGTCTTCCATGGCACTTGGACAGGCAACACGGCGTCCAACAAGCACCCACATCAAGCCAGGTTACCTTGAAGACAAGTTGGAAAGGGCCCTATTGAGGACCTCTGGGGTATCGTCTGCGGAGGTTACTAGGGGAGCAGCTTCCGCACGGTTCTCACTGTCAGATGCAGTCTCTCCATCTGCCTTTACTTCTGGTTCTGACTCCTACACAGCAGAAAAACAGAGGAGGAAAAGGTGAAAAATGTAGGATACTAAGAAGTACATACCTGTCATAGGAGATCTGTGGGCAAAGACCCAAATTGGGCCTGAGGACCTGGCATTGTCAGGTGACATAACAGATGGGACTCACAGCGATCCTGACACAGTTCTGACATGTGCCAAGGTGGCCCGCTCTCTACTGCAAGAGCGACATGCACCTGCACCTCAGGATGATGGGCAACAGCCACAGTCTACACAATGCCCATTGCCTGGCAGAGAATAGTCCAGAAGAGGGAGAGAGGGGCTCCTTCATACCCAAAGAATGCAAAAGGTGGCTGTGACTAGATTTCATCTGGACCTCATTCCTGATCCTACTACTCAGAGCTTTTATTTCTTAAGGGAATTTAGCATAGTTGCTGTGAGAAGAGGTGGGTGAGAAATCAAATCACATAGAATTAGACAGTAACAACAATATTACTTAGTATCTGAATAGCCCTTCACAGTTTTTAGAGCGTTTCCCATACCTGTGAACCTCAGAGCAGTTCTGGGAGGAAGGGAAGAAACAAAAAGATCCCTATTTACAAATGAAGACCCGGACTCTGAGGAGCTCCATGGCTGGCCCCAAATCTCCTGTTAGCCCAGGTCTTCTGAATTAAGTTTGTTCATCCCACTAGATTTCCTTTTATTCAAGCATCTTGGAGTCCATTTTATTTTTTCAATAAGAAATTCAAAATGAAATAAACTAGAAATGGCAAAAGGATGTTTTACCACATCTTTAAAGATTCCATTATGTATGTGTGCAAACATATTTAAGTTTGAATTAGGGAAATTTGAATTTCCCAAACTAGTAAATATATGAAATTGAGAACCGTTTTTATGTTTACTGGCCATCTGGATGTCTTCTTTTGTGAAGTGTCTGTCAAGTCACTGGCTAGTTTCCTACTGAGTTTTCTGCCTTCCGTTCATTGATTTGTAGGAACATTTTATACATCCCAGATTTAAGTATTGCGTCACTAATACGTTCTCCCAGCCTTCTCTAAACCCAGCCCCACCCCAGTCATTCCCTCTAACACTCAGACCTTCTCCCTCTCGGCACTGGCCACAATGAGGGCTTACAAGGCAATCTTTGCAACTGTCTATTGCTCTCTAAAGATGGGAACCAAGACACTTGTTCTCATGACATCCTCATGCCTGGCACACAGGGAAATACTTAGTAATGGATGGGAGGATGGAAGGAGGAAGCAGGGAGTTAATTCCAGGTATGGTAAAGAGATACCCAGTGCCTACCCTCAGGGAAACAGCTATTTCTAAATTAAATTGCAACTGTGATAACACCACAAAACAGAAGGCCTTTAGTCTGAGATTGCTCATACAAGAGACACTGGCTTTGGTAAAGGACCTATAGAGATGGTCTCATTACTCAGATTTGAGGGAAAGAGCTATCTATAGCTTCTGGTGACTCCTTACTCTGCCACAGCTGGGCCAGCATCCTTACCTCATATTACTGATTGTTACGGATGGAGTGCAGCTGATAATCTATATACAGTGGGGCCTTGACTTACGAGTTTAATTCGTTCCAAGACCGAGCTCGTTAACTCAAATTACTCTATCAACTCAATGCAAAAAATCGGCAGAGAGACAGCTGGTATCTCAAAAAACTCGTTAGTCGGGACACTCATAAGTCAAGGCCCCACTGTATATAAAAGCCAAGCGACCAGAATGACCAGAAAGACCTGTTGCTATGACGTGCACTGTGGCAGCCAACTGGCCCAATTGGCTCCCCCCAACCCCGATCAGCCAGCCAACCACCCGTGACCCCTCCCCATGGCTAGCCCCAGCCCGATCGGCCCCCATCAGGGCAGGCTGGCCAGACCCCACCCGTGCACGAATTCGTGCACCAGGCCTCTAGTGTTAAGATGAAGAATGGAAAGCCCTGACCAGTGTTGCTCAGTTGGTTGGGCATCCTCCCATGCACAGAAAGTCACACAAATGCCTCTGGACTTCAGTGTCTTCTCCTTATAAAACAGGCCCAGCCTGGCTGGTGGCACAGTGGTTAAGGATCAACCTATGAACCAGGAGGTCACAGTTCAATTCCCGGGCTGGGTTGTGGGCTGGATCCCCAGTGTGGGGTGTGCAGGAGACAGCCAATGAATGATTCTCTCTCATCACTGATGTTTCTATCTCTCCCTCTCCCTTCCTCTATGAAATCAATAAAAATATATTTAAAATAAGAGGTCCAGAAAGGGCCCTCCTTACCTGTAGGGGTTCACTGAAGAGATACAACCAAACTCCCACCCAGGACTGTGTCAGAGGTCCAAAAAGGGCCCTCCTTACTTGTGGGGGTTCATTGAAGAGATACAACCAAACTCCCACCCAGGACTGTGTCCCATTCTACCACCCTGAGAAGCTCTGAAACACAGCAGCACCTCCCAAATTATCTGTTTCCAGTGGGACTGAATGAAGACCAAGGCATTCAAAACAGCTTTCCATTCTTTATCTTTTTTTTTTTTTAAGAGAGAAAGAAAGGGAAAAGGAGAGGGAGAGAGAAACCTCGATGTCATGTGACCGGCTACCTCCTGCACCCCCCTCCTGCACTTGCCCAGGGTGCAGATAGAGCCTACAACCTGGCATGTGCCCTGAACTGGAAAATCAAACCAGCAACCTTTCGGTGCACGGGAGGACGCCCAATCGAGCCACGTCGACCAGGGCTTTCCATTCTTTATCTTAACATTATCACCCACACCCCATCTGTAACAATCAGTAATATGAGGTAAGGATGCTGAGTGATTATCTAGACCTGACAACTAAACCCAGGGGCTTCAACATGAGCACCTGGGCGTGGCCATGGAGGGCTCCCAACAGAGGCTCTCTGGGAGCATCTAGAAGCCACAGGGGCTGAGCTTGAGCACAGCAGGCAAGAAGGCATGTGTCTGTGTGCATCGCTCACACACACACACACACACACACACACACACAGAAGCCCCAGCACAAGGTTATTTTTAACTTATCCATTCTGTTGTCAAGGAGACTCGCAAAGGCTGCTGGTTCCTTGGGGAGGAAGGGCAGGAAGGAGCCAGGACAAGCCCCTGCAGGGGAGGGGCAGGGAGCTCCGGCTCAGCACTGACTCCCTCGACCTTCCAGGCCCTTCGATAAATGTTAGCCCAGCATTGTTTCCTGCTGTATCATCATACGTGATTCCTCTCCCTCCTTGCTAGGATGGGGTGAGGCTAAAAGTAGTAGGAGATCGAGAACTGCTATAAAGACACTTACTATTGTTAAGAGGTTGGGGCCTGGGATGAACAACTAGGAAATTAAGTAAATGCCCTGAAGGAACAAGCCTGAAGGAGATTAACTTCCTAGGTTTTACTTGCAAGGTCTCAGGCCTCACCCCTGGCCACTGAAAAAAAGCCCTTTTCTGGAGGCTCCGTCTAAGCAGGAGACCAACACCTACACAGACAACAATTCTCCCACCTCCAGCAGAAAGGCCAATTCTTGTGCAAGGGAAGGAAAGGGAGCAGCCTCAGAAGACACGAATGGGGAGGGGGTAAGTCAGCCAGCTCTCTAGGCTTCTGACCCTGAGCCAACCACCCTGCCCCACCCAAGTGCCACAGGAGAGCAGGCCAAGGGGACAGAAACTTAATAGAACCTGGAGAGGTCTGCAGTGTTCTAGCTCCTCCCTACCCCATGGGTAAAGCCCTTGCACTAGGGCTGCTAATGCCTGAGTAAAGGAGGCCAAGTGCAGCTTCCATTGTGGACCCAGAAGGAAGCAAGGACCTGGAGCCCAAGTTTGCTCCCAGAAGAAAAGTGGAACATGCTGAGCCAAGAGTCAGGGGTGCCCAGCATGTTCACTGGTTTGTTCCTCCAGAGAATAACAAGATAGGCAGATGGAAAGGAAGACTTTCTGCAGGAGGAAGCAGCAGCCAGGCAGGGAGAGCAGGATCCAGGGCCCGGCTCTCATGCTCATTACACTAGGCACAGGCCTCCATTCTCTGGTCTTCCCAGTGAAGAAAGGATCCCTCATCTCGGACGTTTGTTGGGATGATCAAATACAACATCAATGAATGTCTATAAAAACTAAAAAGGGTCTGAATAGCAACACCCCATACACACCCCTCAATACCCTTACCACAGTGTACAGGACAGGAGCGCAAGAACCTTAAACACCCACCCCAGACAACCTGGGTACCTTTCCCAAGGAGAGTGGAGTGGGGAAAGAATGGTGGCCATCAGGCCTTGCTGAGACTCATGTGCTAACCAATTACGTGAGCTCAGCATCTGCCTGACTTGCTTCCTCTTTCACACCTCCAATAGGCAGCCCCAACTCAAAACTGATCCTCTTCCCAAAATTACAGTGGAGGTGGACGTCTGAAACACAAATACTAGTGCTCTCTGAAGTGTGGGAAGAAATAGGAGAACTTATTTCTATTTGTCTTGTTCGTGTTTTCTTTCCTGTGGTGCTTTATAAAGGATCTATCAGTACATGTATACAACTTAGTAAGTTTGTGCAAGCTTGGACACACGTGGGTGTCTTGTTTCCCACTGCACTGAGAAGTATCTGGAACATAGCAGGCACCCAAAGATTTGTTGAACTAATAAGATAATTAATCCTACTTGACCTGTCATGGACCAGTGTTCAGAATGCACTGAGAGTAAGACAAAACCCATCTGATTTCTAACTCATAGGCCAAGACCCACACCCTGGCCTCCACAGTGGCCCTCACAGCAGAACCAGACCAGTGCACACTCCCACCACCTCCCCTGCTGGGTGGTGGGTCTGAGGGCCCCGCTCAAGTTCTCGGACCAGCACAGGGCAGCAAGGACAGGCTGCCTTGCTGCTTCAAGTTGTGTCAGCCCAGCCCCAACCCCCCAGCCCCTCCTTCCTTTCCTTTCCCTTCCTTCCTTCCTTCCTTCCTTCCTTCCTTCCTTCCTTCCTTCCTTCCTTCCTTCCTTTCATTTATTTTTATTGACATTCTGACTTTATTTTTTTCTAAATCATACCATTTCCCATTAGCACATGCAGGGTATTAAA